TTTGAATAATAAATATTTCCTCAACTGGATTAAGATGCCCCCTCCACTTTTATATCCTAAATTCCTTTAAGTATTTGAATTTGTTTCTGGATTCTCTATTGCATGTCATTGCCCTGTCTATTGAGTGATGCACCAGCACTGTATTGTGTTAATCATTGAGAATTTAAATTAAAAAAAAAAAATAAATAAAAACACTTGGTATTGAGAGTCCCTGGCCCATCTCCACACCCCATACTCTTAAAACACAAATGCTTTATTATTTTTCATATTTTCCCCTAGGGCCAATCAGATGATTCATCCTCATCAACTCTTCACCCACATAGGCATTTACCTAGAACATACTTACTCTAAAAATTGAGATTCTCACAGTGTGCTTTACCAAGTGACAGATATGGTGAAAGACAGGTCTACTGTGGCAGAAAAAATGAAACTATTCTAGCACGTGAGAGAAGTATTTCCAGACATCTAAGCTCTGGATTGCAGAAAGTTCATTCCGTGCTATCGTTCTATCATATTATCGTATCGTATGTATATGTATCATATCATGCTGGACTATCATATCATATCATATCATATATCATATCATACTATCATCATTCTCTACTATTAACACCAGGAAGAGAAACAACTATCATGCTTCGGAAGGTATTATTAATTAAGTTTAAATATGAAATATTTGAAGCTACTTCCTAAAGCAAGCTATTTTGCCACTACAGAATATAAAATAGTTTTCATTCGTTCATCTTTCCTATGGAACTCATCTGGTAGGATAGGTTTATCTGCAAACCAGATAAACCAGATTGTATCGCGTCCAATTTTTAACCCAATAGTTACATTTTTTAAAAAGAGTGGTTTTGATTTTCAAAAAATCCTTAGTCAAAAATTTAAAAACATCAGGGGGAGCTTACTATTTAAAAAAAAAAGGACTTTGGTAAAGCTCTTTGTGAAGTGAACTACCACTATTTTATATTTGATGAATCTAGATTTTGATTTTGCTAAAGGTAAGGTACAGTTATAGAGCCATACCCTGTAGCAAATGCTATTTTCTATCCATTGCAGATTTTTTTTTTTTTTTTGGCACTTCTGGAAAGAAACGAAGCAAATGGATCAAGCAATAATGCAAGAGAGATCAAAGCAATTCCTTCTGTCAACAGTAGCAATTCTTGCAAATCTCTAAACACTGAAGGCTTTCCTGAGCTACAGAGAAGTCCGTGAGAGAGGATCATTGTGGAACACACATCATAGAAAGTGGTATCAGCTTCTTAATTTTAAGGTATAAGTAGATTCTGCTTAAGGGCAACCGAGCTTGCTGTAGGAGAAGGGAAGGTAGGGGGGAGAAACTGGGGTTTATTGAGCACTAAGTGTGGTATTTCCCGTGCATGCGAGCAAGACCTCTCCTCTATGGGTTGGTTTTAATGAGAGGGGCTCTTGAGCTAAGCTGCCTAGACCCATACTCGGTCTTGGCCACATGCTAGCCATGGGTCTTTGGTGCGGGTGATTTAAGCCTTTTTTGTTAACACTTTCATCATCACAAATACTAAACTCAGACTATCGCGAATATAGAATAAGTTACTTTACGTAATGCATTTACAACAGCTGCCGGACATCTAGTACCAATTGAATATTATCCCTTCCATGTTACTGATGAGGAAACAGGGGACACTGCCTTAACTAAATTGCTTATGACTTGGTGGAGCTTGGTTTTTGTAGCAGACTGACCCCCTGCTTAAGGATTGTTCTACACGCTTGCTACTCAAGGTCCCTGAATCACCAAGCAGCAGCAGCATCACCTGGGAGCTAGTGGGGCCTGCTCCAGACTCACAGAGGTGGGGTCTACAGCTGGACAAGATCACACCAAAGCTGAGACGGGTGGCACAGCAACCCACATGACTGCCCCGTCAGACCTCTGCAAAGTGGAAGGACAGCCGAGATGTATTTGCATGCAATCTATTGCTTTAGAGACTTTAAGTGTCCCAGGGCAGGGCTGGTCTTCAGTACTTAAGGTTCTGCCTTTCTTCTTTGTCAGGCGGACTGCCTAGAGGCTCTCAGGCTGGTTTTTAGTTTGTCTCTAGCGTGAACTAATCTCCACTGTTCTTGATCTCTCTCTCTCTCCCTCCCTTCCCTCTCTCTCTCTCCCTCCCTGTGTCTCTCTCTCCCCCTCTCTCCCTTGCCCCCTCCACCCCTCACTCTTCCCCCCCACCCCCGCCTCTTTCTCTGTCCCCTCACCCTCCTTCTCCCCCTCCCCTCTTTTATATTTCTACATTGACATCTTGAAAGATTTACCTGGGGCTGCCCAACCATTTACCCGCTTGTGCCTGTGGTTCTGAACAAAACCCTATGGAAACAGCCTTGACAAAGGCAGTAGTTTATGGAAACAGGACAGATTATGGAACTGGACAAAACTGGGTCCAAATGTTCATTCTTTCACTTACAGTTTTCTCCAAATAATTTATTTAATCTCTCTGAAACTTTATTTCCTTGTCCTTAAACATGATGGTATTAGTAGCTATATCTCAAGGTTGACAGGATCAAATAAACTCAAGGTATGAGAAAGCACCTGGCACGTACTAGGTGCTCAGGATTGTAAAACAAGTAACTAAACCCTGATCTATGATAGGAGGTTTCCTGTCAAAATTTAGGAGACCCAATACAGGGGTGCTTGGGTGGCTGAGTTGGTTAAGCCTCTGATTTTGGCTCAGGTCATGATCTCACAACTCATGAGTTCCAGCCCCACGTGGGGCTCTGTACGGACAGCTCAGAGCCTGGAGCCTCTCTCTCTCTGCCCCTCCCCAACTCGTGATCTGCCTCTCTGTCTCTCTCGGTCTCAAAAATAAGTAAACATTAAAAAAAATTAAAATTAAAAAAGGAGACCCAACACATTTAAAGGAGCGGGAGACAGGAGTGCCTGGGTGGCTCAGTCAGTTAAGCATCCAGCTCTTGGTTTCAGCTCAGGTCATGATTACGCGGTTCGTGAGTTTGATCCCTGAGTCGGGGCTCTGTGCTGACAGCATGGAGCCTGCTTGGGATTCTCTCTCCCTCTCTCTCTGCCCCTCCCCACTCTCAAAAATAAATACATATAAAAGAAAATACAGGGGTGGGAGACAGGGACTGCCCCTAATGGAATGCATGAATTCCAACTGTGTTTAAAGGAATATCTTCTATATTTAAAGACTAAGGCAATTGCTTTTATGTGGAATAAGCCCCAGGAGGGCTCTGTTTCTTAGAGAGAATCATCAGTTTCATTTTAGTCTGTACAGATTTTTTTTTTAAGGAGGATTACCATTCGTGAATTGCAAGAAATCGCGTCCCTTTCATCATGTGATTTAAAAAAAAAAGTTGCTCCAATAAATAAATAATAAATAAGCAAATCAATAAAATAAAGGTTGCCCCAATCTTAAGAGGAATTTTTATTTTTTATCAGAGCTAAAATTCCTGATCTAGCACTAATTTTATTAATAACAAATTGAAGGCAATGAGCAGAAATTGGCTTTCTGTCCTTACTTAGAGCCTATGTTCCTTCCATAAAGGAGGGTGCACCCGCATAGCAACAAGGCAGGGAGCAGGCTGGTAAGCTCCCTCAGTTCTGGTTCTCAGGACCACAGAGAGCAGCACACAATGGAAATGCCTTTCAAATTGTTGCAGCTGCTCTCCCTGGTGCACCCACTGCGTTAAAGGACAGACGCGCCACATACATGTGAAATCCTCAAGCTCTAAAGCCTAATTAATGACCTGAAATCTATCAAAAATGGCACAAGCACGCATCTAAAGTACATATCCATGCTGGAATAGTAGACAGTTTAAAAGTAAATTGGAAAAAAAAAAAGAAAAGTAAATTGCACACAACTTTATTCCGTCCTTTTTTTGTGTGTTCATATACTCTTTAAAGATTAAACTTAAAAACAGCCTAAACCTTTCACCTCACAGTTTGGCTTCAATTGTTTCACAGTTTTGTGCAGTTTGGCACACTTGAAATTGGGTTTCTTTGTAATTTGTGGTTATGTGCACATCATGTAGGCACACCATTCCTGCACATTCTCTCTTGATTCCTTTTTCTCCTTTCAAACAAGAGAACAATGCTCAATGAGAATAAAAATAAATAGCAAAGAATCCTGCACAGTTTGGGGGCAACTTTTTGATTTCCCACTAAAATAGTTTTAAGAAGATTTGGCAGACTACATAAATATGAGATTAGATTACACTTTTTTTAGTCTTAATTGAAGTGTCCAGGTATGAAAATGTCTGGGCATGAACAGAACCTCTCAAATGTCTATCACATTTAGAATAATTTTTTTCTGGTACACCCTGGGGAGATAATGCCCTTAGAATTTCCTTCCCTTGGGAAACCACATTTATCACTGGGAGTTAAGAAGAAGGGTCTAGTCAAGGATGATGGGGCTGATTGCTTCCTGTCTCACTCTGTGGAAAAAAAACAGGCTAATCCAGCCCCAAACATGCTAGAAGTATGTGAGAAGGCTGTCAGATATTTGCATTGTATCTCTAAAATGCATTCTGATAAACTCAGTTTGCATCCTCTGTCACTGCTTGTTCACTTTCCTGTTTCCATGAGTGATTTTGTTTTGTTTTGCTTTGTTTTGTTTTGCTTTTTCCTGTTTTCAATCTAGTCCTTGAATATTGCAACTAACTATCCTGGTTTAACCCCAGAACCCTTTGGAACATGGTATTTGCCCTCCACCTCCCTGTTCCAATGGTTTACTCTGTTTGTCATAATGTGGCTTAATGAATTAAAACAGGCTGGTGGAGAGAGGGCAGATGCGAAGCATTCACTTGCCTTGGAAGAATAAACCTCTCATACTGTCTCACAATAAGAGAGCCTATAGGTCATGGATCATTCTGAGACTTTAGCGGTTCTCTGCCCCGAGTTCCCCCATTGTAATACCTCTATCAGCAATTGCTTTAAATGAGCATTAGAAGTCTCTCTTGAACTTTCTTTTTGCAAAACTGTCAAGGAACGTTCAAATTGCTATCTTGCCAGCTGTGAATTATTTCCTTTGCTCTGAAGTTTGCACTGGCATGTGGAGAGAGGGTAGGTAGCAAAGATCCCTTGAATTTCCGGAGTACAAAATTAGGGAGTACAGAATTCCACTGCATCATTCCAAAGGATCCAGATTGATGTAAGGAGCTCTATTTTGCCTCTTAAAATGATCAAATACCAGATTTTCTCTGCAGCATAATATGTGGTCTTCTTTGAATGCACTGAAATGATGTGGCTACATTTTATCATGGAGACTGCCATATTTTATCAATTCTAAATCATCCATATTTTCACATTTTAACTTCTCTGAAATTGGAATGTGTCTTAAAATTGATGGTGCATTGTAGCTTGATTGCCTGTATTTTTTTTTCAAGTTGGTGGTACATAAAATTCATGTTCCATTTTACAGTTAAAGTCCTCTTACATTTAGAGTTACAATGAACCTTTTTTAAGCACGCCTTCAAAGAGGTCCTAATTTTCTTTTTTTTTTTAATTTTTTTTAACATTTATTTATTTTTGAGACAGAGAGAGAGAGAGCATGAACAGGGGAGGGTCAGAGGAAGAGAGAGACATAGAATCTGAAACAGGCTCCAGGCTCTGAGCTGTCAGTACAGAGCCCCACGCGGGGCTCGAACCCACTGACGCGAGATCATGACCTGAGCCGAAGTCGGACGCTTACCGACTGAGCCACCCAGGCGCCCCAAGAGGTCCTAATTTTCAACTCTGGAACTGTGATAGGAATAGTGAGCCTAGCCATCTCTGCATTCTATTCTCCATAGCAAGAATATTCGGAAGTGAAACTTAAAATAAAAGAAATTAATGAAAAGCAAAACCAGAATGTTTGAAAACATTTAACATTTGAATGTGTTGTCGTTTACTATGACTGAGAGCTCTTTTCCTTTTACATCCATTTCAAGTGTCCATAATAAATGAGGTCTGCATTTGCAAATGGTAAGCTATGGAAGTCAAATAACTGCTGATGTATCATTAATCTTCACTTCCAACAAAAAAACACATCCTGAATTGGATCAATGTGTTCGATCTGATCAATTACCGCAATAGTGAGCGTCTGAAATTCTGAATTAACTGTGTCATGACTGATTTACTTATACTAGAGTCATGATATTATTAAACCTTAAAGTCATTGTTCCAAGGATAGCTTATACATTAGATTTTCTTCAAATATGTATGGAGATCTTAGTATAGCTCTCTAGTGACTTGCTAGGTTCTCTAGGAATTTAATCTTTGTTAAGATTTGTGCTTGGTTTTGAAAAAAGTTAGGAGGGAAGGATATGGGACTTGAGACATTTATTGAGCAAAACCACCCTGAATCCTTCATGGCTATTGACCAAGTAGTAATGGAAAACGGGAACCAAGAAATAAAAATCTCATCAACACAGTGAAATCTGTTCTTCTCTCTGTGTATATAAACCTCATGTGTTGGCTTTGGCAGTAGTTTGAACTTTGTCATTCCAATAAAGTTCCTGAAATTCACTAGATAACACTTCTTTTTACAGGAAAACATCTGCAAGTTTATTTATCTGGTTATAAACAAAACTACATTTCACTTCTTCAAATGACATATCAGAAATGTTTATTTGTATTTGCAATATACATTATTAGCCCATCACAGAAATCTGTGAACACACACACACATTATTAAAACATCATTCGTAAGTTTAAAAATATACTAACTAGAGAAGCATACATAGTTCTCTACTTCAAAACGTTTTCATTGCACTGGTGAAAGAATTTTACTTGGTTGAACAGAGAATGGTTTTAAACTTTCTTGAGGGAAATTTGGTTAAAACGTTCCACTCTCAAAGTTGATTCAGACAGCAGTTTCAATCTTTGAACGCACACACATACACACCCATTCTGCATTTTATAGATCTGAGATGAAACCTTTTTCACATTTCTAATGTTACTCAAATTTGAGGCATCTTATAGTCGATGTCAAGACATGGTTGAATTGGCAGGTTTTTTTCTTTCTTTATAGTAAAAAATAATGTGCTACCTATGATAAAACACAGAATGCGGATGATGGTGCTGATGGGGTAAGAGCCGCTATATGTAGTTTACATTGTCTCGGGTGCCACTTCAGGTACCTTATGGACTTTATATAATAGTCACAGCCACCCTGAAAAGCAGATATTGTTAGTTAATTTTTACAGACAGACGAGGCAACAAAGCCCCGGAGAATTTGAGTATAACTTGCCCGGGGCCACTGACTGTAAATGTTGAAGTTAGGGCTGGGATTCGGGTATGTCTGATACCAAAGCTTGATTTTTTGAAAAATATCTATTTATTTTTGGGAGAGTGCAAGCAGAGGAGGGGCAGAGAGAGCAGGGCAGAGGATGCAAAGGGGGCTCTGGGCTGACAGGCTGACGGCAGCAAGCCCGATGTGGGGCTCGAACTCACAAACTGTGAGATCAGGACCTGAGCCAAAGTCAGACAATGAACCTACTTGAACCACCCACACGCCCCCAAAGCTTGATCCTTTAAGAGAGGCACAATGAACCAACTTCAAAAACAGCAACTCATGTCCATTTTTGTCCAAAAGCCTACATTTGGAGAGGACTACAATTTCTTCATGGCATTCCCACAACCATAATAAAGTGATGGCATTCTTAGCTGGGAAAACACATCTACCTTTTTGTAAGGCCCCGGCCTATTCAGGCAGAATAGTTTGTTTTCCTTCAGTTTATATTTCCTATACACCTTCTTTAGGTCAGGCACGGAGCTGAGTAAATATTGTAGGCGTGTGGTGAGGAAAAGGAGTCAGCTGAAAGGAGACTGAGGAGCAAGCCCTGGGTCCATGTTCAAGATCAGCAGATCCAGGTTTGGCTGCAGAATCCTGCTGGTACTGTCTTGCTGTGAGATAAGAAATATAAGCCCTTCCCTGTGACTAGGTTTCTGCACAAGGATCTCTGTACCACATCTCATGATGGTGAGGATAACATGAGATGAAATAAGAGAAAGTGCTCTGCAATGCACAGAGGACAAAGTATGTGGCATTATTCATTCCTAGCGGGCTTGTTATGTGGATAATCATTGACCAAAGATCCTTTCAGGCAGCCCTTGCGCCTCACAATTGGAGGGGTGTGTGTGTGTGTGTGTGTGTGTGTGTGTGTGAAAGCAGAATTATTCTCTGAGAATCATGAATGAAGCACTTCTTAGCTCTAAATTTTCATTTCATTGGGATCACATAAATTCACGTTGCTTCTATATACAAGCACAAATCTTTAGTTCTCTGTCTCTGTCTCCCTTGGTCTCTCTCTAGCATGTTGGGTCATACTTTTCTGTCTGTTCTGGAATCAAGCAGATTGAGTTTGAGCACTGGTCTCACCACTTACTGTTCCACCGTGAGCCTGTTACATAACCACACTGTGGTCAGGGGTCTTGATTTCCTTATTTAAAAATGGGAATAGCACATTCCATTCAAGAATTTTTTGATGACTGAATGTGATAAAGCACTTAGCATAGGACCTAACACATAGTAAGATTTAATAAATATTGACTACCTGTTATTGTCCTAGTAGGTTGCAACCATCCATCACTATTTTAATCCCACTGTAAATTCCATACGGACACAGCAATTCTGGTATAGAAAATGCAGAAATGCTGCTCTAGTCACCATAGATGACATAGAAATAATGAAATATTGTCCATGTTCTTGAAGAAATTAAGTGCAATTTAATTTATGCCAAATCAATTATTTTGCCCACTTTATTAATCTAACTTGATATTTTATAGAAAGCAAGGAACTAGCGTTTTTATTTAAAAAAATATATAGGCTGTCATTACATAATCTATAAAAACCAGCTTCTTCTAAGTGATTGTTCTTGACTAACCCCAAATATTATTATCCCTTTTTCCTGTTGAGTCTCACGTTCATATCAGCAATTTGTCCTTACAGCACTGGTTGAATGCTCAATTTCATTTATTCTATTCGTGAAGGCAACTACTTCTGAGCCCTGTGGAATCTTCTCCTCCTCATCCACCTGTCACGTCCTTGCATATGGCTTTGCCACACTAAATTCCCATGTCTGCTGTATTGTTGCCCATCCTAGAAGTCTCTTGAAATTTTTCCTAAAAATTTATCCCAGCCTTATCTTGACTTATAAACTGATCCCAATTTTATCCTAAATTGACTTCATCCTTTTGCGCCTGTGTTCTCCACCCGTACTGTCTTCATGGTTCGGAGGCATTTAAGATCAAAGGCTCCAGAGCCTGACCCACTAAATTCAAATCCTAACCAGTTCTATGATCTTAGTAGAGATAGTTCTTTTTGCTTCAGTTTCCTCACCTATAAAGCAGTATTATTAACGACAGTACCTACTTGTAGAGGGTTGCTGAGACAATTACATGAGTTGATATGTGTAAAATCCTGCTTAGAATCATGCTTAACACATAGTGAATGTTATATAAATGTTCACCATCATATCACGGTTTATTTGAGATAACTCACCCTGGGTTGTTGAGGCTGCCAGATGTGTTCATGATTTTACCAATAAGCTAGATGATGTGAATTAAGAACCAAACCACAGGGGGCACAGAGAACACATATCCAGAGAAAAGTGAAAATGCTACAATGAGATGGGAAAGTTATGGGTGGTTAGACAGAACAATATTTCCTGTAGATGGAAATCAAAAGTCTCAGAAATCTGAGAACAGGTAGCTAGAAAGATGGACTGGAAAAGAGGCCCGGAAAAGTATCTGTGCTCAGCGTGGTGTTGGCAATGTTAGTGTAAGGCACCGGGAGGGAGATTTCAAAGTACCAAGGACTAGATAAATGTAGGATGAAAGGCAGGTAGTAGTAGGAATTTGGAACAAAAAGAACAGGGGGGCGCCTGGGTGGCTCAGTCGGTTAAGCATATGACTTCGGCTCAGGTCCCAATCCCACAGTTCATGGGTTCCCGCCCCACGTGGCTGACTGTGCTGACAGAGCCTGCTTCAGATTCTCTCTTCCTCTGTCTCTGCCCCTCCCCTGCTTGTGCATGTATGTGCACGTGTTCTCTCTCTCCTTCTCTCTCTCTCTCTCAAATATAAATGAATAAACTTAAAAAAAAAAGAACAGGGAATGGCAGCTTTCTAAGGATATTGGAGAGGAGTACAAATTTGAAAGTGGAGATGAAAAAACCCATACAGGGCTCAGATCAATGGTGGAGAAGTGAGAGAGAATTTAAGCCCCATTCCTCAGGGACTACTAGGGAGGACAGCTTTCCTGCTGCTTCTCAAAAAACAAGTGGTGGCAATGAAGGAGAGAAGAGGAACAGAGACAGGAGCGTGAGGTAATGGAGAGGCTACTGGACAGGGAGACAAGACTTCTCCATTCCTATCTCTCCTTAGAACCAGGGGCACGACCTTTGTCCAGTCTCTTAGCATCACTGGGGGAGAGAAATTTAAAGTCCTGACACCCTTTTCATGCCTGAATCCTAATGGGGATACAAGCTGAGATGAGGGGTGGTAGGCAAAAGGTGTATATGGCAGGTAAATTTTGGTCTTCGGAAAATAGAAGTCAGAGTCATTTTCATGAACCAATATCACAGATAGGCACATGGATGAGTTTCGCATGCTCCCTGAGAGAAGCCAGTCACCAAAACTTAATACTATATGATTAGGATTAGACGCGGTTCAAAAATAGACAAAATTGATCTTCTGTATTAAAGGTCACAAGAATGGTTGCCTTCTGGAGATGGTATTCCCTTGGAGGGAACATTTGGGGATGCTGAATTGTTTTCTCTGTTAACCTAGGTGGGAATTACACAGGTATGTCTATAGGTAAAATAATGGAGCATCATACCCTTAAGGTTTGTGCACTTTAGTTTTGTGAGTTGCACCTCAACTGCAAAGAAAGACAAGTCAAGAATCTAATCAAGTAAAAAGAGAGAGAGAGAGAGAGAGAGAGAGAGAGAGAGAGAGAGACATGTCTACTCAATGAACAGTTGAAAACTGAGGGCCTTGGGCAAAGCAGTTTCTCTGGAGATGGTGGTGCCTGGGTCAAAGAGAGACAGACACACAGACACATGGATTGTCTCATGGATATGGATATGTTAACTGCCTTACACGGTGAATAGTTACTATTATTGAACCACCCATCGTTTGTACTTATTTTACAAATATATCCCGCTCATGATATGTAGCATATATACATTATTTTACAGATATATACACGCTCGCGATACGTAACATAGATACATTAGAACAATGATTTTCAAAGAAAGGGCGCTGCTAAGTTCGAGTGCCTCATGGACGGTGCTCAGGGTCACTGTGTGGGGTGAAGGGAGGGTGACCCGCCTTTCTCCAGCCCTGTATCGGCCAGTGTGGTTCTAGTTTAATCTGTTTTATAAATTGTGGCTTGGCCTTACTAGTTAATGCATTAGCAGATTCCACTGCTAGAAGTGTTTGAAGATATTGCAGGAAGTTATACTTAAAACATACGTAGGTTATGTGCGATCTAAAACTTCACTAAAAACAAACCAAACCAAACCAAAACACAGGTCCGTTGGTAATTTTTATCGCAGCCCTACCTCTGACTCTGAGAATCAACAGAGAATTCAAAGGATGTTTCCTTTTCTCTCCAAACTAACAGTCCTATGCTTGCCATGGGGTGTTGGAAACACGGAGCGCAAAGTCCCCAACCTTAAGGAGTTTAAGAGCCATGACAACAAGGCCCTCGGATCAAGCCAAAGTTTCAGATCTTCAAGTATTAACGATTCAGGATGAAAGAAGTGCTGTACCTTTTCTGTGTTGTCCGTCAGTCCTGACTTCCCACTCCTGATGAAGGAAAAGTCTTGCTTTAACTCTTCTCTCTGCCAGGGAGAATTACTTTCTGCTTGTTAAGTTTTAGAGCAGGGGCGCCCCTAAGGAGAGTTGCAGGGACAGTACAATTCTGTAGTGTATTATGGAATGTTCAGCATACTCTGGTTGCTTATTTAGACAATCGCAGGGCGAGCGGAGGAGGAAGGAGGAAAGATAGGAACAGTGATGATCACTGTTACGATTCTAACCACCCTTGCCACCAGTGAGGGTTTCCTGTTTTCATCACCTTTGGTGGCCACCTCTGCCTCCCCACCCTGCGGGTTCATTTTTTTCCCCATCTGTTCAATTGACATTTCTGACACTCATCAGGCTTTTGTTTTCATACTCTTCAGATTCATATATTGTTCATTGTTTTCGTGCTTACTCAGAACTCACGTCCGCCAGCAGCACAGTCCTTGTGTGTAACACACCGCTAACTTTACCCTTAGTAGGGCTTCCGTTTCCAGGGACCTAGTGGATATTCGAAAGTTCTTAATCATGAATGTTGACAAAGTCTTTCATTGTGTGTGTGTGTGTGTGTGTGTGTGTGTGCGCGCGCGTGTGTGTTTGTGCGTTAGAGTGTGTGTGTTAGAGGGAGACAGAGAGAGAGACTGTCAAACTGCCTTCTGAAATATCTATCTAACGTGATTCATGAAGTTACCCACCTTTAAGACATTTCTACCTTCTTTATGGACCAAAACTGCCTCTATTAAAATAAATGTATTTTTTAAGTATTTTTTTAAGGTTATTTATTTATTTATTTTGAGAGAGAGACAGCACACATGGGGGAGGGTCAGAGAGAGAGGAGACAAAATCCCAAGCAGGCTTCACACTGCCAGTGCAGAGCCCAACACGCCCCACGCAGGGCTCGAACTCATGAAACCCCAAGATCCCTGACCTGAGCCAAAACCAAGAGCCGGGCATTTAACTGACTGAACCACCCGGGCGCCCCTCAGATAAATGTATTTAGAAGAGATATTCTAAAATTCTCGAACAGTTTCAATCACAGCATCTCACTGGCCATTAAAAAATCCAGTGTGGGTTGGTGCATGCTGATGTAGCCCCTCTTTGTCCATCTTATTATTATGAGCACCTCTGTATTTTCTATTTCATGTTTTGTTCCTAGATTTGGTGCTGGCCAACCCAAATCAGGAAAAAAGAAATGTCTACTTCAAACTTGCATGCCACGAATTATTTTTCACAAGGTGAACATGTTTTTAATCTGCGATAGTATAATTTATGTTCCGATGAGCAAGGAGTTTTAGAGGATCAGATTAGTGGCTCATCGAGCGGTTGGAACAGCACACCGCATTCCTGAACTTCCCACACAAATGTTTCCATGCACTTTAGTCCGTTCCGAAGCCTCAGATTTCCTATAACCTTAGGAGGAGCCTCCCGCTGCTATCCTTTCCTGATAAGCTCCAGATATATTTTACTGTCTCACCTTCTCCATAAAGTGGAATTAGGAGGAAATAAGGGGCTCTTGGCTTTTACAATTTATTACCCTTCAGAGGATTAATGTTTGTACTTTTTGGTCGCAGAAACCTTTGTTCAAACAAAACATTGCACTAAAGCCAAGTGTGGAAAACAGATAAATGTTCAGTTGCTCCAGGTGAATTGGGGGGTGAGGGGGGGCGCGGCCCTGGCAGCTGGGCCCCTTCCCACCTGCCGGCGGCCCCAGAAGAACTCTGTAGAAGAGGGTGGAATCTGTAGCCTTGGAGGAGTGGTTCTTGTTCTGGTTGCCCGTTAGAATTATTGGGGGGACTTCTGAAAAGTAACCCTGCTCACCACCCACCCAGGGTACTGATGGAGGTTAGGGCCCTGACAATTGTTTTGTTCAGAGCCCCAGAGGTGCTCATGTGCAGGCATGGTTAAGAACCACGGCTTCAGAGCGGTCCTTCTCAAATTCGAGCGTGCATCAAATCTCCTGGGAGCTTGTTAAAACTCAGCTGGCTGGACCCCACCTGAGTTCCTGATGCCGTAGGTCTGGAGTGGGGGGCCCAGCATTTGCATTTCTAATAAGACCCCAGGTGATGCCGATGCTCTTGATCCAGGGACTATAGGTTGGAACCACTGCTTTGTAGAAATGGTGAAATTGGCCAAGATTCTCTCACTCCTGCTAGGAGCTGAGAAAAAAAAATTAGCTTCCACTGGGTGTGCTTCTCTCTACCCATTCTTGAGTTAAAAAAATAGAATTGCTATGTCCAGAAGGGCCCCTTATGGAAGGTATTGGCTATTTTGGGCAGGCATATGGGATCTGAGGTTGCCACTCTCTCTGTCAGTTAAGCCTCTGCCTACAACCTGCCACAGTGTCTTACTGGAAATCAATTATACTGGAACCAGTTTTCTAAACTATGAGAACATTGGGGCAATGTATGGAAGAGAAGATGTATTTTAAAGGGAAGAAATGAAAACCATGGTAGGGTCTACAAAGAGTGCCTCCTATAAGTCGTCGTGTCATATTAGGAAACCAGAACAGAGGCAAGCCTGCATGTGCCTTTGAGTAAAGTAACCAAAGCATCAGTAAGCTGCCCGGTTGCCTTTATTTCTTTCCGTGTACTTCTACTTGCCACAGACGAGATCTAGGGAGAGGAGCAGCAAAATGTTTGCTTCATGCCAATCATTTGGGGGCAACCCGATTTGGAAAAAGGAGTTAAATAAATATGAAAAGTTAAACAAAGTTTTGGGACTTAAATAGGCTTCCTGTCAGAATATCTGCTGGGAGGCATGATAAGCTCAGTCACCTATAATCACAAAGCAGGCGAGCTCCTGCTGGGTGTCTAAGATGCCTCCTCAAATCAGGAGGACTGGGAGTTACAGAGCCGAGGCACTGATTTCTTGCCATCAATATAGGTGTAACAACATGGGGCTCATCCCGTGCACTTCCTCAAAAGCAAAAGTTTGGAGAGGGGCTGGTTGGCGTGAGAATGGTTCACTATTAAGGGTTGAATTGTCTTCCCAAAATTGAAATGTTGAAGTCCTAACCCCCAGGATTTTATTAGGGATGCAACTTTATTTGGAAATAGGGTTGTTGTAAGTGTAATCAGTTAAGATGTGGTCGTTAGGATAGATCCTAATCCAATATGACTAGTGTTCTTATAAACGGGGAAATGTGGACACTGAAACACACACACATACACACACACAGGAAGAATCTCAAGTGAACAAGGAAGGCAAAGACCGAGGTGACGCAGCCATAAGCCAAGGAATCAACGCTGCTAACACTTTGGTCTCAGATTTCTGGCTTCCAGAACTGAGAAACGGAACGATCTCTGCTGTTTAAGCCACCCACCCTGCAACACTTTGTTGTGGCGGCCCTAGGAAACCGATACATTGACCCAGAACACCATGTCAGATAACCGTGCTGTGGGAGAAGCCTCATGTGACTCCGTCCAGAGGACTCAAGCCAGCATCTCATAGGGAGCCAACATTGCATGAGGTATAGGATGTCAGTCATGACCACCCAGAGAAGCAACACCCAGTAGGGATAGGTCCATGGAGGCAGTTGGTAAAGAAATGAGACAGTAATAAGCATTTACCTCTTTCCTTCTCCCTGCTTATCTCAGTCAGGGTTGTTGTGTCTTGAAGGGCAAGCAAGTGCAAGTCTTTGGGGCCACACCACCTGCCCTCACTCTATGAAGTCAGATCCCCAGTTCAAGGCCTCTGGGGGAGAGGAGAGTTGGGCAAGTAGGTAAGATGATGAGAAAAGATGGTCAGGAATTGAGATGGAAGTATTAAACAGCATTGGATTTTAACAATCTGAAGGGCCAGGAAAGTTAAGGCATTAATTCAAGACGTTGCTGAGGATGGGAAAAAGGAGATCAAGAATAGCAGTGAAAAGTTTTGACCAGAGAAAAATTGAAGTGTTTCCCGATTATATTTCACTGAGACTTATGCTTTTTGGAACTGCTCAAAAACTGGTGGGAATAATAATAACAGTAAGAAAGCATGGCTAATATTTATTTTTCACTTAAAATTATAGTCTGGGCCAAGTGGCATGCATAATATCAATTAGCTTCTGCAGAGTCCCAGGGAGATAGGAGATAAAATACTATATATTAAGAAACAAAGTCCTATAGAGGATAACTTGTGTAAGTCCACTCAGCCAGCAAGGGTTAAGAGCCTGGGTTCGAACCTACGCTCCCCATGGCGCCATATTGCTCCTGGTTGCTTTGGTTCCTGAGCCTCATTGTGTCTACCTCCCACCCCAAAACGGGCTCTTCTTGAGGCCTGCTATGAGGTGCTTGCCAGGCATATTGTAGCAACTGCCTTGACATGCGACGAAAAGGTATGGCTTCTACAAATGAAAACAACCTTCAGATATGGAGACGGCTTTCAGTCTCCCTCAGAGTTTCTGAAAGCAAGTGCTCAGCGTTGCTACTTCACCTGAAAATAAAGTCATAATTCGAATTCCGTGGCCATTAATGCACCCTGATTCTGGTTAATATGACCTTAGTCATGCCTCGATACTTCATAAAACAATGCTAGGTTGATGTGAAAGATACAATTGCCACCCACACTAAGAAAAATAAGGCAGAGTATAATGGTGTGAGTATACCGTGGTTCTAATCAAGTCCAATAGATAGAAATCAAAACATTAACCATGATTATTCCTAGCTAGTAAATAGAATGTGTAATTTACATTTGCTTTTGTATCCTTTCGAATATTCCAACTGCCTTACAATGAGCATGTATTTATTTTTTGAACAGAAAAACATATTGCTGCGGGAGCTGCAGAAAACTGCCACAGGCTCAGCATAACAAAGCAGTTATCTCCCTGCATCTGAGTGGCGAGATAGGAAAACATTTCCTGGTCTCATCAATATTATTGTAACATATTTTGTCCTTAGCAATTACATTTCTGCCCTTTACCATCGTTTTCAAAACATTGTATCTCCTTTGGCCCTGTGTGTATTCCTGTGGTCATATAGCACACCCTGATTGGAAGTGCTAAAGGAGAGTTTGTGGCTTTCCTTTCATTTTGGGTGAACCAGCGAAAACAAAACTGATGGTTTTTCCTTATGCATAAAGTGTCTTTCACGTATGATTGGTTATGAAATATTCTTCAGTTCCACTCCCAACTCCACCCTGTGTGCCGAAATTTATGAGAAAGGAAATGATCTGAAAGCCCTGAAGAGAATAAAATGACTGAGCAAAAAGGGATCGGCTGCCCATCTAGTCCAACCTTTCTTATTTTGACAATTGAGAGAATACATGCCGGAGCGATTTGTCCGCGGTCTTTTACCCAGCGAGCCTCAGCGCCCAGGCCACAAACCCACTCCCCAGTTGATAAATGAGGGGCCCGCTAGGTGCTTTAGCAACTAACAGTCAGGTAGTTGGGTGAACACTTATTTGATTGTCTGATTTCAAGGGCATTCCTAAAAGGGAATGGTTTGCCTTAGGAAAATGCCTTGAAAAACTGCCCGGGGCTAAGGCTGAAGCCTTGAGGCGACGACAGTGGCGAGAAGGACGGAGAGCTCGCACGCTCGCTTCCTCCCCGGAGGAAGCGAACTTGTTTAAGCCTGGGAACTGCAGCAATACCGGCCGGAATGGCTAAGGGGGTTTCAAGAACAAAGGTGTCTAATATTCGACTTTATGCTGTTCCAACCGTGGAACCGCTATAAGCTACAGAGTGAACAGCACGTTTCCTGGAATTAGGAAAGCACAGAGGCGAACATCAACCGCTGGTTAATTATGGAAATATCACGGAGGACAATGGGTCTTTGGCAGAACAAATAGTGAAGTTTGATACAGTTGTGTTTACATTTAGGGGTACAAGTTATCCTCAGTTGACACATGAGACATATAATACAAGAGCTCTCAGCTATTGGACAGCCTTTTACGTACCAGGTACCACTGCGGCAACTTTTCACCTATTATTTGTAATTCTAGAACATTTCTACAAAGTAGTTATCCTTACCCTCCATTTATAGATGAGGACTAAATCATTAGAGAAATAAAGAATTAGATCCATTTACTAGCAGGGTGATCTTGAGCAGGTTATTTAATCTCTGAGTGTCTATTTTCTCACCTAAGAATGGGGGTAATAACTACATTAAGATTTAACATGTAGACATAATACTACACAAATGACCTAGCAGGATGTCTGAAATATAGAGGATGCTTAATAAATGGATTAGTTAATGGAAATTAGGGCAAAATTAACATAAATCTGGACCTGTTTCTTAGAAGTTGAATGAGACTGACAGATGTGATGTTAAATTAAAATACAACACATTCTCCATGTAATGCATTCTCCAACTTTTTTTAAAAATTGCTTTAACATATACTTAGTTTTAAGAGAGAGAGAGAGAGGGAGAGGGAGAGACCAAGCACGAGGTGGGGAGGGGCAGAGAGAGACAGGGGCACAGAATCTGAAGCAGGCTCCAGGTTCTGAGTTATCAGCACACAGAGACTGACTTGGGGCTTGAACTTGTGAATCGGGAGACTGTGACCTGAGCTGAGGTCAGATCCTCAACCAACTGAGCCACGCACGCAGGCACCCCTCCAACTTGTTGTTCAGTCTACGAATGCGGTGGGCGAAGAAGTCAACTGAAAATAAGCTCTCATGACATGACTTTGGCAATTTTCTTCCACTTCTAAAATTTAATTTGCTAAAGATTGGGGTTATGAAGTTTGATTATATAAAATACTTTTCACTTCTTTCCTATTCCCCTTACTTTAATCTCTTCTGCTCATCCTCCTTTATTTATTTATTTATTTAATTTTGATAGGGGCGACTGGGCGGCTCAGTTGGTTAAGTGTCTGACTTCAGCTCAGGTTATGATCTCACGTTTTGTGAGCTTGAGCCCCCAGTCAGACTCTGTGCTGACCGCTCAGAGCCTGGAGCCTGCTTTGGATTCTGTGTCTCCCTCTCTCTCTGCCTCTCCACTGCTTGCTCTCTCTCTCTCTCTCTCTCAAAAATAAATAATAAACATTAAAAAATTTTTAAAAATTTTTGATAGTATATTTTTTAAATTAAAAAAAAATTTTTTGGCAATTCTTCATTTTTGGGAGACAGAGAAAGAGTGTGAGTGGGGGTGGGGGGGCAGAGAGAGAGGGAGACACAGAATTCAAGGCAGACTCCAGGTTCCGAGCTGTCAGCATAGAACCTGATGTGGGGCTTGAACTCATGAACCATAAGACCATGACCTGAGCTGAAGTTGGACGCTTAACCGACAGAGCCACCCAGGCTCCCTGAGAGTGGACTGTTTTTAAAGAAAATGAATATTGTATCAAAACTCAAAGCAGATCCCCTGCAGCATTTGCAGGGGGATGTGAGGTTTAGATTCTTTACAGCTAAAAGGTAAGCCCATTGAAAGTAGGGATTTTTGTTGTGTTCACTGGTGCTTTCAAGGGCCTACTACAGTGCTCCATGTGTAGGAGACCCTCAAAAAGTGTTTACAGAATAAGTGAAAAAGTTTTCTGAAAACTTCAATTCATCAATTCTTACAGTTTTATGCCATAGATTTGCATTTCTAGTAATCATGGTGGCTCTAAAAACAATTTTTTTTTTTTTTTTTTTACTGGTGGGACTCAAAGGGTTCCTGTGGGTGATGGGAGGTGTGGTGCTCCTCTCCAAGACTGGGGTTGGGGATGAGGTCCCGTCTGCTCAAGCTCTGGTCCCAAACATAGGCAGTGGACACCACAATCTCTAAAGTATCAGTGGCCGATTGTAGCTCTGTTTTCTGGATGAGGCAATGGAGATGCAGCAAAGACGTTCTAAGACTGAGGGTCATTAGTGGTTTTCTGACCTATTTGACCATCAGGCCTCCTTATTTGACCGTTTCCAAACAATTGCTTCAACTTTCAGACATAGTGCCTGGACACTTGATCTGTGCGTATGAAAGAACAGAATCTGTTTTGTCTTTCCCTCCTTTCCTAACCCTACTCTCCTCCAAAGTTTTTGTTTTTGTTTTCAGTGAATTAGTAATTCTCCCAAGACACTGATTTAACTTCATAGCCATCCAAATTAGAAAGGTTTGCTGAAGAATGTCTCTAAAGTCTCCACATAGGCTAGCTGTAGCACTTGGCCAACAACAATGTGAATTTGGTGCAATTCATCGGACATGTTTAAGAATTTGGCATGCCCAGCATCTCTGCTGTCTGCCGTATTAAAATTTAAAGAGACCTCAGTGCTCTTTTTGCAGTCGCCTATGCTGGACACATAGACCTTGATCTCTGACTATCCTATGATCTCTGCTCACGTAGGAGGAAGAAATGCTGGTTCCAGAATTCTTTCCTCAGAGAAGACAATTGCCCTGAAAACTAAAACCTCAACACGCTATATTACTCCCATGTAAGTTTTAATGAAACTAACCTGGGAGATTCTGGGAAGGCCTTGAAATCCTTATACAAGTGAGGAAAATTCTTCGGACAGAGGACATCCAATGCCAGTGTTAACAGGTACAACTGAAAGATTGGAGTGTGTTTTTAGTGAGTTGGCCAGGTAACCACTGGGACTGACCCATACCCCCAATCAGCGGATCATTGGATTATCTCTAGAGTCAACTAAAGCCTGCTCATAGATGATCTATGGGGAGTAGAAAGCTAAAGATATTTCCCCAAGAAACTGATATTTTGTAAGGACTGGACATGAGTATCTACACTGTTTGCCATATAAACATCTGTGAGATTAATAATGAATTGTAGAAACTATCCACACGCAGATGTGATTACAAAGATTTGTAGGTAAGAAATAAAGCATACCAACTTCTAAGTCAAATCTCCTTCAAATCCTTTCCTCTCTTCTCTCTTCTGTTTTTCATCAATCGGCTGAGGTCACACAGCTGTGATTCAGGCCCTGGTGACACAGATGAATCAGAGATGGCACAGGGTCCAGAATTCTTGGCCAGACTTACAACAGATTTTTCATCTATCAACCAGAAATGATGCAGTGCTCTGATTCAGTTATGGTGGCCCCAAATGTTAGCTAGGCTATTTTGGAAATATTCCTAGTACTTAGGCAGAATCTCTTATCTTCTTTCTGCTTCTACACATAACAATTATGGGGGGGGGGTATCAATAATAGGCAAAGTGTCTTCAGCTCTTTGAGTCTTCCCCCAAATACCTGGGTGCTACCATGTTATTTCTCATTATTGAGCCTTCCGTAGGCAACACTTCTCTTGATTCTGGTTGACAAAATAAGATGTGATATATCCAGGTAGAAAGGTAAAATTGTTGAGATAAATTATTAACGTTTGTTTTCCTGAGACCCAACTTTAACGTTTATTCATTTTTGAGAGGGAGGAGGTGCCAGAGAGAGAGGGAGGCCCAGAATCCGAAGCCGGCTCCAGGCTCCGAGTTGTCAGTGCAGAGCCTGAGGCGGGGCTCGAACACGTGAACCGTGAGATCATGACCTGAGCTAAAGTGGGAAGCTCAACCGACTGAACCACCCAGGCACCCCCCTGAGACCCAACTGTAGATACAGGTTTTCAGGCAGGCCACATGCCAAGTCTCTCGAAAGAAAGATATCTATTAAGCAGGCTTCCAATGAAGTTAATTACAATTCACTTTCACTTTAAAAAAAATGATTGGTTAAGAGCTTGGGATCGAGAGCCTTCCTGGTCTGGATTCCATGAACAGCTCAACAGCTTATTTGTTGTGTGCCTAAGAAAAGTTGTTTAACTTCAAACACTCACCTTCCTCACCTGTAGGGGAAAATACTATGAACCTTACTGTTTGGAAACGGGAAATAAATGAGATAGTGCGTATCAAATGCTTAGCATAGTCCCTAAGCCGAAGGGCAGCTGTTTTAACAGTACGATGATGGGAGTCTAGGGCTTGATTTGGCAAATAAAGCTCACAGTTGAGAATGAAGAAACCACCGAGAACGAAGAATTTCACAGCGGATGTTTAAAGAAGCATTGTTTGTAGAGGCCTGCCACCTCTCACTGGGGGCCTTGGGAGAAGCCAGCCCACTTTGGAGTGGAGCAGCAGGAGGGTAGGGGGAATAGCAGAGGAGGCACTGGGAAGGAGCAGTTCTGTTTTATGGCAGTGCAGTGCTGGTGAGGGGAAGGTACTTCCCCGTCTTACTTCCTTGTGGAACAGAGGACAGGAGTGCTTGCCCTCAGTGACACCAAATGAGGAGGGCCTCAAGATTTGGGGAAGCTGCACTATTATACCTTACAGGTCTCAGAGAA